GGGAGCTTGTGGCTCATGCCTGTAATCCTAGCTACTCACGAGGCTGAGATCTGAGAATCACGGTTCAAAGCCAATCCAGGCAGGAAAGTCCATGAGACTCGTAATCTCCAATAAACCACTAGGAAACCATAAGTGGCGCTGTGGCTCAAGTGGTAGAGCGCTTGCCTTGAGCTGAATTGCTGAGGGACAGCACCCAGGCCCAGAGTTCAAGCCCCACAACCAACAAAAAAAAAAAAAAAAAACTGCTGGGTAGGCCAGCGGAAAGAGCCAGCAGTGGAATGGAGGATCAGGCCCTGAACTGAGCGTGAGACCTGCCCTGCCTAACCCTTCTCCCACGCACTGCCTTGGCTTCTTCTATCTGACCCTTCCCGTCCCATCGTTCATCGACCTTTCTCCATCCAGATTCTGGTGACCCAGCCAGGCACAGGACAGATGGACAAAGGACTTTCTCATAAGTGCTGAGTCTTACGTTTCAGAATTTGTGTGTGTGTGAAAATACCGTACAGAGGGGTTACAATTACATGGGCAAGATAATGAGTACATTTCTTATCAAGCATTGTAGCCTCCTCCTTTGTTTCCCCTTCCCATCCCTTCCCATCCTCCGCCCCCATCCCCCCACCCGACCCTCCCCCCCCACCAAAGTTGTAAAGTTCTTTTCCAACATAACGACTTGTATATCTCATTGTTGCAATGGGTCCACCTATATCCCTATTTAAACGATTGTTTCAGAATTTTTTTGTAACCTATTTTCACCTCTAGGGGAGAGAATTAAGCAATGTTTCATAGAAATGCCTAACCACACTCCAAACTCCAAGCTCCCAGAAGCTCTTACCCTCAAGGAGGAATAGTAAGTTGCTCCCAACTTCTGGTGAATACCACTTAAATGCTTAACATGACTTAAAAAAGTTTGAATGCTGATAGGTGCAGGTGTCTCCCGCCTGTGGTCATGTCCACTTGATTGGGAGGATCAAGGTTTGAGAAGCCCAGGCAGAAAAGTCCTTGAGGAGCCATCTTCACCCAGGGACACTCGACACGCGCCTGCCTGTCCTTCCAGCAGTGGTGGGAAGCCCAGAGTCGGGGAGTGGGAGTTCACAACCCCCTTCTCAGTGAAAAGCAGGACCGAGGCCCTGCGTTGAGTCCTCAGTACCTCAAAACTAAAGTTAGAATACTCACACTAGCTATCATTTTAAACCACACCTTTTGCTACATGTCTACTCTTTATTCAGTGTTATGCTGAGTTCTTACATCGCTCTTAATTAAGATTCTTTATTGGTCTGATTTCAGATGAACAAGATGCATCTCCCCTGTTCAGACCTGCACTGAGTGATGTAGTGGTTGAGGCAAGGTTCCTAGCAACACTGTAGAGAGCATGTGAACAGGCTGGGCCTCGGTCCTGGGCGGCTGACTCTAGTAGGGTAAACCGACCAGCAGATGAAGGGTGTACCCCTCCCTGTGGAAAAAGTGCACACTTAAGTATGAAAGGCTTGTAAAGTGGTGGTGTCTTTTCTTGGGCCTATATAAAAGTGGCTGAGTCAAATGGGTTGTGTCCGGAGCCGTCACCTGTGTGCTGTGGAGAAAAGGTAGATCTCAAGACAAAACGCAAATTACACAAAACCAACTCTGCAGCCTGTTCACAATGCCTGCTGAGCATGCGCTTTCAGAATTTGGGTGTGTGCACTAGCCAGAGCTCAAAAGCTGACACGGTAGTCCCCCCTTACTCTGGAGGGCACACCCCAAGACACCCCCACCCCACAGTTGTTGACAAATCATGTATGGTACCAAATCCTCTGTGCTCTGCTTTTCTATAATGATGTTTAATCTAAAATTAGACACCGAGAGATTAACAGCAATAACTAATAAGAATTGCAATAATGCTGTGCGGAGTGTGAGCTCTCAAAACACTCACAAATATTAATACCTTGGGACCACAGGCAACTCGGACTACAGAATGCAAAACCTCAGGTGAGGGAACTGCTGGATATTTTAATCCTTAGAATCGGTGTTGGGTTTTACAGGCCTTCATGTTCTTTTTTCCTCTTTGCTCCTTACTGTTTGTTGTATGAAGGAAGTTTACTGCCCATTGTCTAGGTTACTGACCCAAATCTGTTTCATCCTGTTTGGTTCTAAAGGGTGCTTATATGAACTAGAATTGGAAATAAACATGGATACTGGAGTGGTGCGGCGCTAACATTAGAAAAAGTAGGAGCTCAGGGAATGACTTGGAGGATAGAGGACTGGCACTTGACAGTAGCTTTAAATCTGAGTGAAGAATGGTCAGAAGAGTCTCAGCTTCTTCAGAACTCAGCCTAACTGAAGAGCAGATCTGTTTTTCTTTCCCCTGTGGTAATGTTCTGATGTTTCTCTGTTTTGTTTGCTTAACAAGATCATGGATGATTATTCTCTAATTAAGGGGAGTGTGGCTTGTTAACATTCTAAATGTCATCCATTGGGCTGATACTAAAACTCAGAGGGAGTCTGTGCTTTTTATCTTTTTGCTGTGCTTTAAACTTAAGCCAAGAGATTTTTTTTTTTTCCCAGCACTGGGGTTTTAACTCAGGTCTGCATGCTTGCTAGGAAGTACTCACTATACCACTAAGCCATACCTCCAGCCCTGAGTTTGTGCTTGTGGTTTTGTTTTGGTTTGTTTTTTTTGTCTGTTGTGGGGCTTGAACTCTGGGCCCGGGTACTGTACCACTAAGCTATACCTCCAGCCCTGATTTTGTGCTTGAGTTTTTTGTTTTGTTTTGTTTTGTTTTTTGTCCGTTGTGGGGCCTGAACTCTGGGCCTGGGCACTGTCCCTCAGCTCTTCAGCTCAAGGCTAGTGCTCTACCACTTGAGCCACAGCACCGCTTCTGGCTTTTTCTATTTATGCGGTGCTGAGGAATGGAACCCAGGGCCTCATGCATGCGAGGCAAACACTCTACCACTGAGCCACCTTCCCAGCCCGTGCTTGTTATTTTTAAGGTAACATCTTAGCTATTTTGTGATTCCTGTCCTACCTGGGATCCCTGCCAATCAGGACTACACCCAGTTTCTTTCCATTGAGGTGCAGTCTCTGCCTGGACTGGCCTCAAACCACAAACCTCCCATTCTCAGTCCCCCACGTAGCAGGGATGACAGGTCTGAGCTGCCAGTGCCTGGCTCATGGCTAAGAGTGACTTGGAGAAGTAAGGATTTCCACTGACAAATAGAAATAAAGCTATATAATCACAACCAGTTCTTGCTCATCTTGGACACAGATCAGTATCAGAGACTCGTTCTTCACCTTCTGTGATCTGTCAGCCCACTTTACCCACTTAGCTGTTATCGCCGGTGCTGTAATCCTGCACCACCTTCGCTCACCAGCATGCCATCCTCTCAGGTCCTAGCACTGGCGTCCCGGCAGGCCTGGAGTGAGGCGGGGACAGGCACAGAGCCCGGCCAGCGCTTGAACCTTGGGTTACTGCATTAACCTCATAGCCCCTTTGTCCCTAGAAAACGGGCAGGCAAAGCTACTTTTACGTGATGGGCTGAAAGATTAGGATCCAGTGTTGAAAAATTCATGGCGCTCCCTTTCTCATTCTGTTCACCTGAAGACAGAGGTTGCCCCCGCTTGTGCGTGCACAGGTAGCTTCCCTGCCCACCGTGTGTGCTCTCCTCCAGGGCCGGATCTGCAGAGGGATGCAGTCGGCAGGCAGCGGCAGCCCCCAGTGACTGGGGACAGGGGCTCCCAGATGGTTCTCGGTCCATTGGCACAGAGATTACAGGAGCTCACACCCTTCAGTGGTGACAGCATTCTTAAGATCTCTTGAACTGAATCCAGTGGGAATCTAGACTCCTTTGTAAGTTGACTAATAAAAGGTCATTGGAGGTTCTTGTTTGGGGGGGGGGGTGCTCATCTCTTCAAATTCCTGTTTATGTGGTAGGACAGGCAGGTTCGTGTGCCATCCAAGACTGGCCAGTCCACATACGCAAGGGGCGTGCACAGGTGCACGGCCAGGAGAGAGCCCTGCTCAGCCTCAGGGCCAGAGTCAGGGGCTGCATCCAGACTGCTTGCCTTTGCACGCGTTACAGGAGTATCTGTGTATGCAGTATAGTCATGGTACTGTGTGTTCCATGTTATAGTCTATAAGCCAAACCAAATATATCAGGGCCTTGCCTGGTTGGGGGCGTCAGTCTGCCTTCTTTAAATCACTGTCTCGCCGCCTCATGCTAAGGTGATGTTAGAGGGTTTGCCTTACTAATCCCGTCCCATACCTCTGCGCTCATGTACAAAGTGGATGTGGATCTGCAGTCACGGAGGGGTTCATAACCCTCACTATTCATGCTGACACTCGTGACTTAAAGAATGTGATTTCAGGGAAACAAAAGCAGGTCCTAATTCTCTTCCAGAGGAGTTCTGCTTTGGCGCGTCACTGTTTTCCCCGAATCCCACCAGGTGGTGTTATTAATGCACTGTTACCGTGAGTTGTAAAAATCACAGTTTCAGAGCTGGGAAGATAAATTATTTGTGATATATCAAAACTAAATTATTGAGAGCTCTAAAATAGTTTCTCCACATTTGTATTTCCAAGTAGAGCTCCCCAAAATTGGGACTTGTAGTGGGATTATAAAAGACTCTGAGGTGCCAGTAATTGTAACCTGCTTGGCCTGTGTTCCCAGATAACTGTTTCTAATAATAAGATAAATGAAGAAGTAAGCTAAAACACAACTTCTTTACCATGGCAGTTTACACCATCCTGCTTGAAAGCCATCTCCTTTGAAGTAGACTTTGTCACCAGGCACCCTGATGCTTCTTTGGGGTAGTCCTAAGATGGGGGAGAGGGTTGAGGAAGGCACTCTTGCCCTCAAAGCTGGCTTCTGCGGGTTTTCATATTATGCAAATGAGCCCTGGGGTGTTGTTGGGTAAGCATATGTGACCGGGTTTTTCCTAGCCTTCACGTTTCCCTCCCTGTGTTTCAGAAGTTGCGGTGCTGGTGTCTGGGGATGCTCATCGTTCTCACCCTTATTATTTTCAATAGGTGGAATACATGTTGGTATCTTTTGATCATGAAAACAAAAAAGTGCAGTTGGTCCTGTCTGGAGAAGATGTGCTTGAAACTCTGCAAGAGAAAGGGGAAAGGACAAACCCCAAGTAAGCCTTCATTCTGAGTTTCTAGATCTTGGAGCTACGCAGAGCAGAACTGCTCCTGAGACTTGTAGAAGGCAGGTGCCCTCGCAGCTAAGGTTCCAGGTTGCCTGGCTTGCAAATACTGGTTACTCAGCAGTTGAGCAGCCTCAGGCTGGCTTAACCCCTCCGTGCCTCCGTTTCCTCATCCGTGAAGTATAGATAATAACAGCGCAAGCCTCCAAGTTGGTGAGATTGAATGTATTACTACAGTGATACAGTACCATAAGCTAAACATCAGCTCTATTTACATTTAACATAAACCATTATTAAATACTTTGTAAGTATGTTAGACCTAATACCTGCCAGTCCTTATACACTTGAAGAATCAGCAGCCTCGGAGTCCTTGGCTTCATTTATACCTCTGGCCTTATGTTTTTGTAAGCAAGTTCTAGATTTGGTGGTAGTAACGATGGCGGTGGTGTTGAGGTTGAAATTTACTAGTCAGGGATGCCACCACTTGAGCCATGCCCCCAGTCCTAACGCAGACCCCAAAATGCTGCAGAAAAAGACTAAGGTGACACAGTGCAGCTGTGGAGCTCACTGGACGCAGATGAGAGTGACCTCTGCAACTTGTTGGTGGAGACGGGAGGGAGGGACTGGGGGAGAGAGAGGGAACAGAAGACTGTACGAAAGGAGATGGACTCTTTACCTGACTCATGTAATTGTGATCCCTCTGTACGTCACCTTTATAAGAACAATAAAGTAAACTTTAAAAAATAAGATGAAACTGCGTCTTCTCTCCCGCAGCCACCCTACCCTCTGGCGGCCGGAGTACGGTAGCTACATGATCGAGGGGACTCCGGGACAGCCCTACGGGGGGACCATGTCTGAGTTCAACACAGTCCAGGACAACATGCGGAAGCGGCGGCAGGAAGCCACTTCAGTGCTGGGGGAGAACCAGGCCTTGTGCACAATCACGTCCTTCCCCAGGTTAGCTCCATGCCAGCGTGTCCTGGCAGCCGTGCTGGGGAGCCAGGCCCAGGGGCCACGCCACCCCTGTGTGCTAACCTGACCTGGGCCTCCAGGCCCTGGCAGGCCCGGAAGGTTCTGTGCCACAGTGTGCTGTGCAGCCTAAGGTCACTGCAGAGCAGGGACACTGTGCGTGTGTGGTGCAAGTGAAAAAAGCAAGTGAATCCTGGGGA